CTATTATATATTTTAAATTATAAAAGCTCAATTTATGCCATTCTTTCAGTTTAGGTAGACTTAGTAAGACTTTTCCCTCTTTTGAGGGACAGGGTCTTGGTAAGTTGTCCATGCTAGCCTCAAATTTTAAACCATGCCTTAGCCTTCCAAGCAGCTACAATTACAGGTGTGTGCCACCATACCTGGTGACAATAAAACTTTAAGAAAAAAAAAATCCGAATGAAATTCACTTCTACACTTTCCAAGAACTGAATTATTAGGTTAAATACAAAGAAAAATAATACATAATAGCCAGAGGATGAAAATGTTCCACAATTAGACAGTGATGATTACAGACTCTGTGACAACACTTAACTGTATATTTTTTTTTTGACAGGGGGTGGGGTGGGTACCAGGGATGGAACTCAGGGGCACTGAGCCACATCCCCAGCTTTATTTTTTTGTATTTTATTTAGAGACAGAGTCTCACTGAGTTTAGTACCTTGCTGAGGCTGGCTCTGAACTTGAGATCTTCTTGCCTCAACATCCTGAGCTGCTGGGATTATAGGCATGTGCCACAGCACTCGGTATTAACTGTGTACTTTAAGAGTAAACAAATGACATGCTATTGTCTCAGTAAAGCCATTTAAAAAAATGGTGACCTGGGTATAACTGAAAGGATTGATACCTACGCTATGTATAGATTTACCAAGTACACTATATATCATCTAATAAGTAGTTGAAGGCAGAGGAAATAAGCCACAAAGACTCATTTTTCAACTACAAAAGGTGAATAGTTATTTATTTGCAGTGATTGAAGGTTAAAAAATCATTTGCAAAGTTACTACAGTATCCATACATTTTAAGTTCAGCTATTACTGACCACATGCACAGATGGCAATGATCTATTCTGTACAGTAAGCTGCGAAATAAAATAAGCATGTTCCCATTAACTGAACCTACCCTCTACTTCTGATTTTAGAGAACACAAGACATACCCAACAAGAAGGTGTCAACTGTCAAGGTGACACTTCCCATTAAGGATTCAGAAACTGGTGAAAGGGAAATGAATTTTAATGTATGTATTGCCTGTAGCAGATATTATATTCACCTGAGATGAAGAACAAGGAATTTAAAACTCATCTTTTTTGAATATTCAACTTGGTTTTTTGAGTTTAATTTGTTTTTAATATTAAAAGACAGGAAATAATTGTCAGGAGCCAAGGGAGAAGAGAATGGGAAATGAGTTTTTAATGGATATATGGTTTTTAGGTTGAGGGGTGATGAAAAAGTAATGGAGATGGATGGTGGTGATAGCGGTATGACAGTATGAACATACTTAATGGCACAGAACTGTACCATTAAAAACAGATAAAATAGGCTGGTGCAGTGGTGCACACCTATAATCCCAGTGACTCTAGAGGCTAAGACAGGAGGATCACAAGTTCTAGATCAGTTTTAGCAACTTAACAAGACTCTGTCTTAAGAATTAAAGAGTGCTGGAGGTGTAACTCAGCAGTGAGTGGATGTAGGTTCAATTCCCATTACTGGGGGCAAGAAAGAGGGGAATTAAATAAATTAAAGAGATTCTAGAAGACTAGAAATCTCAGATCACACACTATGAATCAACCATTATCTGTCGTTCCTAAACTGTCAAATGCAATATATATAATACAAAAAAATGGAAATATACAGTGTGCAGAAAGTCAGATCAGGGTTATAACCAAAGCTTCTCCACTATGTGATCAATGCATTGGGCAAGTGAATAAAGTCTGTAGGATTTATCAAACTTTCCAAAAAAGGTAAGGAAAAAATCTGGTGGTACTGAAAAAGCCTGTATGCCTGGAGCATAAACAAACTGCATAAGATGAATTCACAGAAGCAGGGACATGCAAGTTCTATTAAGTCAAAGAAAGAATTTTATATTTCAAGAGCAATAGGGAAACCAACAAGGAAAGCCAGAGCCTCCCTAGGATAGTTACAGTGTAAGACAACAGCCAGACTGGTGTGATAACCAACGAGACAGTTCATGGACTTGGATGTGCTCTGAGGTCAGTAGAGCCAATGGTCTCAGTGTCAAATAAGATGATAAGAGAGGGAAGAATCCCAAAGATCCCAAGATTGTCTGAGTCCACTAGGTGGTTAGAATGCCCTACCAAGAAGGCAAAGCCCAGCAAGAAACAGAATTCAGAGGAAAAAAGAAACCAAAACCATCAAGGCAGAAAAGAAGCTGGCTATAGTCTTAATGGAGACCCAATACACTGAAATAGTAGACCAAATACATTAAAATATTCTCAATTTGACAGGCTGAGAATGTATCCCAGATGAAGCTGGAGAAATGGCAATTGAAGCCAAACAACTGTATATACATATGTAGGCGAGGCCATCTGCAACCCAACCTACCATATGTTTATGGAATGACAATTATTTTCCTGTCAGTCTTCCTTAGTTACTCTGATCCAATCATCTAAACTAGAAATCCTACCAACACCTTTGATTCTATATCCACTTAGTGATCCAAACCTGTTCCTTTGCATTTAAATCAGAGGCTCACTTTCAAAATACACGACTACAATTCCACACTAAAGGGACATTTCATTAATATTTTGGGTTGAGACCTGGTAAAGAGTAGCCCCAAATGATTCCCATGTACATGCCTGTTTAAGAACCACATTCATAAACTCCTAACATCTTACATTATTCTTAAGGCTGCTGCCCTAGTTATGTCTTGCCCTCATTATTTCTTACCTCAATTACTAAAATAGCTTCTCTGTGTCTAACGTTCCTCATTTTGACCTATTTTCTTGCTTCTCCCCCCGCCCCACCTAGTGGTACTGAAGATTGAACCCAAGGCCTCAGGAACATTAAGCTAGCACTTTATCACTAAACTACATCCCTAGGGCTTTCTATTTTTTGACACAGGGTCTTGTTAACTTGCCCAGGCTGGCCTCAAATTTGCAATCCTCCTGCCTCAGGCTCCTGAGCAGCTGGGATTATACGTGTGTGCTATTGAACCCTGCTACCATTCTGACCAATTAATTCCCCACCTCACAATTTTTTTTTTCTTTTAAAAAAGTATCAACTGGGGCTGGGGTTGTGGGCTCAGTGATAAGAGTGCTCACCTAGCATATGTGAGGCACTGGGTTCAATCCTCAGCACCACATAAAAATAATTAAAGTCATTGTGTTTATTTACAACTAAAGAAAAAAAATTTTTTTAAGAAAGTAACAACTAGTAATTTTCAATAAGATTATATATATATTATATTATATATTATATCTATATTATTTATAGATAATAGTATTGTGTCAATTTCCATAATTGCATTGAGGTTGATAAGGGAACGTACATTTTATAAAATAAACACTAAAGTAGTTAGGAGTAAAGGGGCATCAGATCTGTAATACATTCTCAAACAGAAAGCCTATGTACATATACACTGAAAAAGCACCTATAATAGAATATTAAACTTAGGAGAACCTAAGGGAAGGCTATGTGTTAATTCTCCATCTTAAAACTTTTTATTTTGACATAATTGCAAACATAAAATGTTTTTAAGACAAAAGAACCTAAACGAATTGATTCTAGGGAAAACGTGATTCGGAGCTATTTGAATAAATGGTATTGATCTGGAGCGTTGAGAACTAGACCCCTCTGAGGTTGTAGGACATTCAGTACATTGTGGTACACTCTGAAGTGAATCCCTACAATCCAGGCCAAGACCACTGGCTCAGAATGATATAAAAGTGTTTCTGAGCATGGCTTTCAGGTAAATGACATTGCCTTTAACTCAATTTGATGGTTAGACTTAATGTTTGTGCCAAGAATCAAAAACAGAAATAAACCATGAGGTCCTTATATAGTATCCCAATGAACTGCTCACTATAACTGTCAAATCAACATTTAAGTGTTACTTCTTTAGCAACTAGGATGTATCTAAACTAGTAAAACATATTTAAAAACAAAACACTTCTGCTGGGCATGATGGCCATGCCTATAGTCCTAACCACCCAGGAGGCTGAAGAAGGGGATATCACTTGAAACCAGGAATTTGAGACCAGCCATGGCAACATAGCAAGACCCCATCTCAAAAGACAAAAAAAAAAAAAAAAAGCCTTACCAACAATACGAAAGGAAGTAGTTAAACACTTTGAAATAATCTTATAGAAAACAGAGTGTTTCTGGGGTCAGGCCTGTAATCCCAGTGACTCAGAAAGCTGAGGGCAGGAGGATCATAAGTTCAAGTTCAGCCTCAGCAATTTAACAAGACCTCATTTCAAAATAATAAAAAAGGACTCGAGTAGCCCAGTGGTAGAGTCCCTGGTTTTAATCCCCAGTAAAGAAAAAGGAGGAGGGCTGGTGATGTGGCTCAAGTGGTAGCACGCTCGCCTGGCATGCGTGTGGCCTGGGTTCGATCCTCAGCACCACATATAAACAAAGATGTTGTGTACGCCGAAAACTAAAAAATAAATATTAAAAATAATTAAATAAATAAATGAAAATATGGGGCTGGGGATGTGGCTCAAGCGGTAGCGCGCTTGCCTGGCATGCGTGCGGCCCAGGTTCGATCCTCAGCACCACATACAAACAAAGATATTGTGTCCGCCAAAAACTAAAAAATAAATATTAAAAAAAATTCTGCCTCTCTCACTCTCTCTTAAAAAAAAAAAAAAGAAAAGAAAGCTATTGTGTCCACCTAAAACTAAAATATATATATTAAAAAAACAAGAAAAAAGAACAGAATGTTTTGATGGCATTAAAATGTAATATAACTGATACCTGATACGTGAAACAATTATTTTATTTCTTTGTAGTTGTAGATGGACAGAAGCAGTTTATTTTATTTGTTAATTTTTATGTGGTGCTGAAGATCAAACCCAGTACCTCACGAATGCTAGGCAAGCACTTTGCCAATGAGCTATAGCCCTAGCCCCAAGAATAATTAATAGCCTTTAGAAAAAGACCACATTCAGATATACAACCTAGAGAAAAAAAAAAAAAAAATGACAAACTTGACTCACCAGCAATTTCTACGATATCACCAGGAACTATGTCTTTAGCTTTAATCCTCTGCACACTCTTTCTGTCCTGTCGATACACTTTGCCCATTTCAGGCTCATATTCCTTAAGGGCTTCAATTGCGTTCTCAGCATTTCTTTCCTAAATAAAAGAAAACAAAAGATAAGTGTAGTAAACACTTGCCTGCCACTGCAAGTATTATTTCTAGGCCAGGAATTAAAATTTTAATCTAAATCTTAATAATTAAATAATAAACTAATGAAGTTTGAATTTAAAAATTCATATTTTATGATGCCAATTGTTTTACAAGGGCACTTATGATTCTGGGTTAAAAATGAAGATAAACACCCCAAGAAGAGTAAGGGAACAAACTATAATGAGGAAAAGAGGTTACAAAACCTGCTGTTCCTAAGCACACAGCCTTCAACTCCAGCCACATGTACCCATACCATTATATCAACCCTGTGTCACATGAAAAGCTATATGGCAGAACAGTCTAAAGTCAGGTTGCCTAGGTTTAATCCAGGCTGTTTCAATCAACAGCTATGTGATTGCGAATAAATTTTACAACACACAGGTTTTACTACCTGTAAAACAACTACCTCAAGGAAGTGTTCTCAGAATTAAGCTTTATGTAAAATGCTTAGACAAAAGTTTTGGCATCTTATAAATGCAGTGATGAATTTTTAAAAATCAAGTTATGTCACAAACCCTAAGAAATTAAAGACCAATGAACTGCTAGAATTTCATCATCACACTGCTAAATATTAGAATATTTAACCATAATTAATGTAACTACTATAATTTAAATTCTAATGTTTCTAATATTGGATGAAGAATAAATTTGGAATATTATCGCTATTCAGTTAGTCAATTTTGAAACAAAGTCCCCCCACCCCTGTACTAGGGATTAAAACCAGGGCAACTCAAACACCCAGCGTATCCCCAGCCCTTTTTTTTTTGTTGGGGGGGGGGGGGAAGGTGGTACCAGGGAATGAATGCAGAGGCACTGACTACTGAGCCACATCCCCAGCCCCATTTTGTATTTTATTTAGAGACAGGGTCTCACTGAGTTGCTTAGCACCTTGCTGTTGCTCAGGCTGGCTTTGAACTCACGATCCTCCTGTCTCAGTCTCCCAACACCCCTTTCTATTTAGAGACAAAGTCTTGCTAAACTGCTGAGGCTGGCCTCAAACTTGCAATCTTCCTGCTTCAACTTCCCAAATAGCTAGTGTTACAGGTGTGTACCACTGTGTCCAACCCCCTAAAGTTATGAATTATACAGTTTCACCTTCTCAAGATCTTGTTAGGAAGAATTAAACTGGATTAGTCAGGGTTAAGGAAATGTTCCACAAGCACTATATTTTGCTCCTACTAAATAAAACTACAAAAGTCCATTGAAATTAGTCCATTGAAATTAGATAAACTACATCTCTCAAACCCAGAAGACAAAGATGACAATTAAAATCACCTAAATAACATCTCCTTCCCCTACTCAATTCAAACTATTAAAAGGAATATTTAGAGTGTAGAGAATCTGAAAGGGAAACAATGACAGATTTAAATCAATAACCCCAGAAAATAGTAGACTTAGAGAAATACAAACACAACTATCAAAAGGATAACTTACAGTACTTCTAAGGTTTCCCCCAGTTCTACAGTTTATAATCTCCCTTCTCGCTCCATTTACATCTCCTACTCAAATCCAAATAGGCCTGTCATTCTTCAAACAAATCTGGTATCATTCTCATTCTCCTCCTTTGCTGAAATCATCTCCCCAGCCTCCACCTGCAAAACTCCGTAACAGTTCCTAACTGCTTGTCATCACCACCTTCTTTGATGACACTGGTCAGAAATGACAGGTTCCTCAATACTACCTAATATAATAATTTATTTCCAGAAGGCAAGAACCTTTTAGTATTGCTCACACCACCTAGGATATTATGGAAACATAAGAAAACTGAAGAATGTTACTCTGTTTTAAAATAAAGACAAATTAAAAGTCTTATGAAACTTTCATAAAAAAATTTCATTTTGGAATTCAGATCACATCTGCCTGGGCTTGGGTTCAAATCCAAGAATTTCTATTAATATGTGTATGGGAACCTCAGTGTCCCTTCTGTCAAATGGGAATATGATCTGCCTAGTAATATAACTTTAAGGATGAAATAAATGGGAATGTGCATAAAGTAACTATCATAATAAATGGTATAAATCACTTAATAATAAAAATGAGAGGATCTGGTGTAGCTCACAGCTTAGCATGCATGAAGCCTTGGGTTAAATCCTTAACATCACTGTAAACAAATAAGTAAAATAAAGAAAAAAGAAACATACACAAAATTTTCTTTTAAGTACTGGAGATGTAGCTCAGTGGTAGAGTGCTTGCTCGAGTGGCCTGTGTAAGGCTCTGGATTCAATGCCCAACACAATTTCTTAAAAAATAAGCTATGCTTCCATGAGCCCATCATATATTTATTAATAAAAATTGAGTTTATAATCCCAACAGGACTACATTTATAAGATGCTTTCACTTTAAAAGTGACAGGCATACTCTATTTTAATCCTTAAAGAGGTTGACTACATCCATCGAAAGCCCCAAAGCCCAATACTTAAAACAATTTAGGATTCAAATAATTTTTATAGCTAAAATCGCCTAAAAATCCAATGAGAACAAAGATGATGTTGAGTTTATAAAGTTTATTACAGGAAACAACTAGGAAAAATAAAGACAGATTTTGGTCCTCATATTTCCTGGTTTCCTTAAGTAGCTCCTCTCATCCATTTTCCTTCTTTTGAGACATGGTCTTGCTATATTGTTCAGGCTGGTCTCAAGTAATCCTCTGGGCTTAGCCTCCCAAGTGCTGGGGACAACAGGCATGTGCCACCACACCTGGCTTCTCATCCATGTTCTTAATTCCTTGTTACCAAGAAGGTTGAGCAATTTTAATAGCAAAACAGACATCCATGACAGGTCTAAAATCTATCATTAAACAAATGAAAAATCATATAAACTTTCTACAGACATTTTTTACTCAATATATTAGGAAAAAGATAAAAGATTTGTGCAGTTTGAAATAACTTACATAAATTGCTAAAATTTAGCACTGCAGTAGTTTTTGCTTACCTGCCAAACACCCACAATTGCATTGGCTACTAATATAAGTAGAATCACGAAAGGTTCTACAAAGGCTGTAATTGTTTCTTCTCCTTCTTCAAACCAAGCCAAAACCTAGAAGATAAATGGCATATGTTAGAACTGTTAATGTGTTTTTAGGCTTAGTGCCACTTTTACAACAAAAGTAGCTGGCACTAAAAGAATGGATAGACTAAGCCTCTTTTCCTACAAAATCGCCACAAGATGTAATGATAAAAACAATCAGCTTAAATTTTGTTAATAGCAATTTTGGGAATCAAAACTTCTTAGGTAGGCATGGTAGTGCACGTCTGTAATCCCAGTGGCTCAGAAAGCTGAGGCAGAAGGATCATAAGTTTAGCAAAACTTAGCAAGACCCTGTCTCAAAACAAAACATAAAAAGGGCTAGGGATGTGGCTCAGTGGATAAGCACCCCTGGGTTCAATCCCCAGTACCCATCCCTGAAACTATACAACTTCTTAACCATACCTTTAACAGTTTATTGACTATTACTTATATCAAATAACATCAGACGTAATGTAAATTCATAGTAAAAACAATTTTGCTACTGACTCAAATTTAGAGTATATAAACTGCTAATTCCACTTATTTTCAGTGGTATTCACTTCAGAATTACTACAAAGTTGTTCTGTGGGAATGTATTTCAAAGATTATCCATATGATTTTTAGTATAACAACATAACACTTCAGAGATGACAAAATTCCAGAAAGTTGTAACTGGACACAGAACACTGCCCCCAAGAAGGAATAGAAGATTAAACTTTTAGTTCATGCAACCAAACCTTGTTAAGAACTACAAGTTAATAGCCACCTTGTATCATAATCAAGCTACTATGAAAGTGATTTTAAAAAAAAAATCCAACACAATGAACCTTAGTAATAAAGAACATGGTAAAAAGTGATAAAATGGGTAAATATTTCACTAGGATCAGGTCCTGAGATGCCAACTGAATTTCTGTGAAAACCTGATAGTCTTAATGATCCAATCTGGAAAGCTGGCTTTTAAAAAGTAATAATAATATTGCTTAATAAGCAAGGCATAATAGCACATGCCCATAATCCCAGCTACCAAGGCAGCTGACCAGGAGGATCCCAAGCTCCCAGCCAGTCTGGGGAGCTTTAGTGAGATCCTGTCTCAAAATAAAAAATTAAAAGGGCTGGGGATGTAGCTCAGCAGCATATAGTTTTCCTAGCAAGCACAAAACCTTTAGCTGGATCCCTGACACACTTTTTTTTTTTTTTGGTATCAGGGATTGAACTCAGGGGCACGCAACCACTGAACCACGTCCCCAACCCTATTTTGTATCTTAATAGAGACAGTCTCACTGAGTTGCTTAGTGCCTTGCTAAATTGCTGAGACTGGCTTTGAACTCTTGATCCTCCTGCCTCAGGCTCCCAAGGCACAGGGATTACAGGCTTGTGCCACAAAGCCTGGTGACACTTTTAAAAAGGCGAAAGAAACCTTAAAATATGCATATTTTAAAGAAAGTCTTTAAAAGATCTATTTAGGCCAGGTGCAGTGGTGCACACCTGTTATCTCAGCAACTCAGGAGGCTAAAGCAAGAGGATCACAAATTCCACCAACCTCAGCAACTTAATGAGGCCCTTGGTAACTCAGCAAGACCATGTCTTAAAATAAAATAAAGATCTAGTAAACAATGAAAGCCCACTTTTTAACTGGGCATAGTGGTGCGCATCTGTAATCCCAGTGGCTCCAGGGGAGGCTGAAGAAGGAGGATAGTGAGCAACAGCGAGGTCCTAAGCAACTCAGGTGAGACCCTATCTCTAAGGCCAAATATGAATTTTCTAAGAGAGGAATGGTGAATTAACAGATCAATCTGTGCAGGGAAAAATAAAACAAGAAGTACCAGGACCCAGGTTCTGACACATGCCAATCTCTACTGACAGCCAGTGAACTAGAGTAGGCAGAAAACCAGAGTGAGGATGATAAATGCCACAGCATACTTTCAACAGGGCATTCCTAGTGTTAAGTCCAGGCCTCATGCTGGAATGAAAACTTCTCTAGGAAGTGAGGAATTTTGATAGTTATTGGATCACAGCTGCTGATACTAGCCTCTCAAAACATTTGCACAAAAGAGCATGAGAGAAATAATACATTTAATCAGCTCTTAGGGGAGAAAACTTGTTCAACATGAAGAGTGACTAGGGCCTTTCCAAAAGGTCAGTGAGGCATTAGCAACTGTAAGATAAGCTTCACACCTTGTTAAAGTGGGTATGAATTTCCTTCTTGGCAGTCAAGCCTGGGAGACAAACTTTAAGCAACATCCTTTAACAGCTGGAGCAAAGGATGAAGGCAAGTAGTGACAGGACAATAAAAACAAACTTCTACTTTTCAAAAAATGTGTATTCTTGTGAAATATGGTCCTTGGTGAATATAGGAACCCTAATTAATGGAATATAATAGTCTCATGGGTTTTTCAACTGATAAGAGAAAAATCTGAAGCACATGTTGGGGGGCTGGGGCTGGGACTCTGCGGTAGCATATTTGCCTGGCATGAGTGAGGCACTGGGTTCAATTCTCAACACTGCATGTAAATAAATAAAGGTCTCTCAACAACAACAAAAATATATAATGATAATGATAATAAAGAACAGGTTGGATGAATATAAATTATCTGTATTTCCTTTTTCTTGTGAAGAGCCTCTGGTACATAGTTGATGTTTGGTACATAGTACAAACCTGGCAGTATTATGAACTCAAACACTAAGAGAGCAAAAAAGTACTTCATAAACTCCATAAACAATTGCAAAAGAAAATAGAAGAAAAGGCTACTGTAGTGTAATTTTAGGCATAAACCATTTCTTCTTTCCTCTGAACTCTGCACTTAGTACCTATCTTTTAACATTTTCAAGAGAGTTTAAGTTTCAAATATGCCAACTATATTTGAAATAACCCACTTGCTAATGAACACTCAACTACACTTCTTTTTTTGATACTAGGGATCAAATCCAGGGGCATTCAACAACTGAGCTACATCCCCAATCCTTATTTTTTGAGACAGGGTCTCAATGGCTAGCTTCCAACTTGCAAACCTGCTTCAGACCCCCCAAGTCATGACTGGGATTAAAGTCATGCCCCACCACACCCAACCCCAATTACCCATAACAAGTTAGGATACAGTATCTTTTTTTTTTTTTTTTTTTTTTTTTTAGAGAGAGTGAGAGAGGAGAGAGAGAAAGAGAATTTTTAATATTTATTTTTTAGTTCTCGGCGGACACAACATCTTTGTTGGTATGTGGTGCTGAGGATCGAACCTGGGCTGCACGCATGCCAGGCGAGCGCACTACCACTTGAGCCACATCCCCAGCCCTAGGATACAGTATCTTAATAGTTATCCACAAGATTAATCTGTGAGACAAGGTTTATTTCTCAGTGTTAGAACACTTGCCTAGCCTGCTCAAGGCCTTGGACTGACGACCATCACTGAAAAATGGAACTAATAGGATGTATAATGAACAAAGCAAATTTTAATCCAAGTTAAGGTGTGTTCAACTGTGAATTGGGTGAGAAGTCATGATGTTGTGATTCAGTTATCTTAAATTGGAATAATAGGCCAAGCTCTAAACAAGACCATAAAAAAATAAGAGGCAGGGGCTGGGGATGTGGCTCAAGCAGTAGCACACTAGCCTGGCATGCGTGCAGCCCAGGTTTGATGCTCAGCACCACATACAAACAAAGATACTGTGTCCCCCGAGAACTAAAAAAAAAAAAATATTAAAATTCTCTCTTTAAAAAAAAAAAAAAAAAAAAAAGCAAGAGGCGGGGCTGACAGTACAGCTCAGTGGTAGAGCTAAGAGTCCTTGAGTTCGATGTCTAACATTCTTTCTTTTTTGAGGGGATGGGATGAAGGGCTGGGATATAGCCCAGTTGGTAGAGTACTTGCCTCGCATGCACAAGGCCCTGGATTCAATCCCCAGCACCACACAAACAAAAAAAGGTATATTTGGGCTGGGGTTGTGGCTCAGAGGTAGAGTGCTTGCCTAGCATGCGTGGGGCACTGGGTTCAATCCTCAGCACATTAAAAAATAATAATAAAGATTGTGTCCACCACCGACAAAAAAAAAAAAAAAAGATTTTTTTTTTTTTTAGAAGAACGATCATTTTGATCGTTGTATCCTCAAATTTACACTGTGCTTCTGGACATTTAAATGCTTTTTCAATAAATGTAGAATTTACAACAACTTTTTATTTTATTTTTTTTAGTTGCACTTGGACACAACACTTTTATTTATTTTTATGTGGTGCTGAGGATCGAACCCAGGGCCTCGCATGTGCTAGGCGAGCGCTCTACCGCTGAACCACAACCCCAGCCCAGCACATCAACAACTTTTATGAAGAGGAAATGGATGGTGTAGTAGCACAAACATGTAATCCTAGCTGCTCAAGAGGCTGAGGAGGAAAATCACAAGTTCAAGACCAGCCTGGGCAACTCAACAAGTGCATGTCTCAAGATAAAAAACAAAAAGAGGTTTGGGCATATAGCTTAGTAGTACAGCATACCTGCCCAGCATACTCAAGGTCCTAGGTTCAACACCCAGTAACAATAACACACACACACACACAAAGAGAATCAAATACTTTTTAAAATGGTTTTTATAAAAGTGATACAAAGGGTTACCAGTACATGGGAAACAAAAATTCTTTCAGACTTAAAACAACAAAAAACAGTAGGGGCTGAGGCTGTAGCTCAATGGCAGAACACTTGCCTAGGCACTGGGTTCAATCCTCAGCACCACATAAAAATAAATAAAATAGGGCATGCTGTCCATCTATAACTACCAAAACAAACAAACAAAAAACCCAAACCAAAAAAACCCATGAAGTAGAACTCATTCTCTTCCAATCTAGATACAAATCTATGTAAAAACCATTCTTCAATGTTCTAGGACTTAGGAATAAATTCTTTTTCCCTAGAATACTTGGCCAGCACGTGCACGTGCATGCACGCGCACACACACAAAGTACACCATAAATATATGCCCCAATTTTTTAAAAAAAATTTCATCTTCCAAACTGTATTTTAAGAAAAGCTCCAGGGCTGGGGAATATGGCTCAGAAGCAGACCACTTGCACGCATGTATGAGGCTTGGGCTTGGGCCCCAAGTAGGGGTGAGGGGGTGGGGAAGGCAGAGGTTAAATAAAATCAGCAAATTGCCTGTCATACCATATTTAAAGAAACAGCAGAATAGGGAAAAAAATATATAATATAAATACTTCCTGAATATATCATTGAGAAAAACCAAAGCAAACAGATCCCATACATTTTGAAAATGCCAGAGGAACAAAGTCATCTGAGCAATTGTGACCCGGAAAACACACACATCATTAAGGTTAATCTACATAGCTGGGATAGGAATGGGGGCTAAAGGTAGAGAAACCTATGCAAACTGTCACCAAAGAAAGGTGACTTTATATGATTTGGACAGATGTGAGTAAGACCAATATGGCCCAAATATACAATTTCTCAGGTTTTTTATCAAAGTCACCTTCTTAGAGAACTTAGCTGACCACCCTATTTAAAAACTGGTTCTCCCTTATCCAGAGCCCCCATGTTTTCCCTTCTCAGCAGTACTACTCTCCAGGTAAGAAACTTTGTCCATTTTGTTCACTGCTGTATCTTCAATGTCTACAGCAGGTACTCAACAGTGAAAAGAGAGAAAGAGGTGGGCAGGCACTCCAGTTCAACAGCCATGTGATGTGTTGTATTTAGGGCAAAGTCAGTAACGCAAGAGGACGGAAACACAAAATGAAATGACAGTTTTGAATGCCAAATTGAGAAATTTCTAATGTTCATATGCAAAGGGAGAAGTAGAGTTAACTTCTTCCAATCAAAAGTGACCTTATTTAAAGAAAAGTATTTTGGTGAATATTAAAAATTGTTTCAACTGCTGAGCATAATGGCCCATACCTGTAATCCCAGCAGCTCGGGAAGCTGAGGCAGGAATATTGAGAGTTCAAAGCCAGCCTCAGCAACTGCAAGGCACTAAGCAACTCAGTGAGACCCTATCTCTAAGTAAAATACAAAATAGGGCTGGGGATGTTACGCAGTAGTCGAATGCCCCCGAGTTCAATCTCTGGTACCAAAAAAAAAGGTTCAACTATCCCTATGGGCCACTTTAATGCAGTTTCCTACTTTCTGCTGCAGCAAAATATTAACTATGGTTAACGGTTTACTACTTAGTTTGATATTTGAAATAAATTACAAATATGCCTTTTAACCTAGCAGGACCCAATGATTTATTATGTATGCCAAATTGAGAAATTTCTACTGAGAACTGACTACTCATTTTCATAAAAGAACTTGAAATATTCTACTATGTTTTTCCTGGTGAACCAACAAGAAATCAATGACTACAAGATTTTTTGTGCTCCTCTTTTTTGCAAGATGTAGCTCAGTGGTAGAGCAAGTGGTTTGATACTCAGCACCCACATAAAATAAATAAGGATATTTAAAACAAAAAGAGCTATAACACAGTGCTACCTAAATGCTATTTAAAAAAGAAAAAAAACAAGGAACAAAAGGTCAAGTACAATATAGCAGTAGTCCCAACCCCAACCCCCCCCATATCTCTCTCTCTCTCTCTCTCACACACACACACACACACACACACACACACAATCAATCAACAAAACCCGGCTTTCTACAGTAATTTCTTGATCAAATAAACTAAAGCAAATTAGGTGAATTCTATAGTAAAACTAATTCCTAGGCACTTTTGCTACTTAGCAATCCATAATATAAAACAAAATAATTCCAAGAAGTTATACCAAAAAGGAACTCAAATTTCAACTCCAAAGCGTAGCTCTAAAAGACAATGTCCTATCTTAAAATCCATTTGAAAATGCTCATACTAAAAAGTCAATTACTTCAAACAACAATTAAAAAAACACATCAATTCTACATACTAACATAAAGTCACTCAAACTGGCCACTGAAGAGACCCTACAAGAAAAACAAATGTTTACTGTCACAACAGCATCATTATTTCCAACACTGCTTCAAGTTAAAATACATACAACAGTTCAGTAAGAGCGTGTTTTATCTTTGGCTTATGCACTCGAGCTATTAACTTGATCACAATGATCTTATTGGACACCAGATTTAACAGCCAAAGCTGAGGTTCTTTAAAAATTATGTGACCAGCACAAATCTTAAAACTACCCTCAAATATTTCACTTATTTTGCCCCACGGTAATAAAAATTCAGTACTGAATGGTTTGCTAGGACTCTCAATTTTATTCAATGAAAACCACAGGAAAGATTCTTTGGGACTGAATTATTAATGGCTACACACCACTTGGCTAACATATTAAAAGTCTCATGGCAGAATTTATGTACACAATTACTCCAAAGATCACTTCTCACTGCCACTATCTACTTTAAAAAAAGGGGGGGGGTATAAAATTAATCTTTTCCTCACTTGAACTAAATAAATGAACAAAAAAAACCTCCCACTGCTCTATTCAGTTCTCAAGACAGTACTTCATGGTATGGTTGTCATAAATGCTGAGGTAGATCCCTAGGACTTGTGCACGTATAAATATACAAAAATGAAACCTTGAAGCAGTGTCAGTTTTGCAAAGCCTGAAAGTATTGCACTGGGTAATTTTCACTTTCCAGCACTTTTTTTTTTTTTTTTTTTTAAGAATAAAGTATTTTTAAGAACAAAAGTCATCTCATGCCGTCAGGATTAGGAACATGTGTCTTACTCATGACCATTTTTAGGAAAACTACCAAGTCTACGGTCTCCCCCCCAAAAATGCAATATAAAATACTGAACAGAAAAAAATTTAATAACCTAGATAAATCCTTGCTACTTCCATCATCTTTTTTCTGCTGCAGTTCTTTGCATTTCACCAGTTTCTCAGCAACTATACAGAACTCAGGCAAGCCACATAGAAGAGAAAAAACACACTATGCTGAGTTTTTTCCTTTTAAGATTTAGAACTATACTGAACCTTGTTATCTCAACCTAGGAATCACTCAAGACGGGGGTCCAATTTAGATAAATACAGCACCCTGAAGGTCAGTGACCAAATTTGGTCAACAGTGGTGCCATCATTGCCGTCATCATTCTTGTCACTGTCAAGAACAACTGTCACCTTGCCACTACCAGGAAGGGAAAGCAACTGGAATATTCCTTTTGTTAAGTTCTATTTACAGCCTACAAAGAGTCCAACATCATCTTAGTATGATCTTACAACATGATAAACAAATTGAAGAAACAAACAAAAAAAAAGGCCTGTCAATGAAAAAGTTTGTTACTTAAAGCTGATAAACACTAAGACTTTGTAAAGACCCTACACGTTTGGCAATAATTTCTCCCCACACTGTAAATGTCAGGCATCAATTTTCCAAATATGATTAGCTTCAAGTGTTTTGTTTAGAAGTTAAGAATATCTAGATTATTTTGTTTTTAAATATGGAAACACAGCTTAATTCTACAAATGATTTTACCTAATAGACATAATTTGTTTTCTAGTTTACCTAATGGAATATTTTCAGTTTTCAGGGAGCAGAGAAAATAATTTTTTCATACTTACAAAAGATATACATGCTGCCAGTAACAATATTCTAACTAGTAAGTCTTCAAACTGCTCAATCACAAGTTCCAGCAAGGTTTTTCCTGTTAGAAACAAACATATTTGTCATAACTGTCATCTTAAAATCAGTGCACACGCGCGCGCACACACACACAAATAACACATTAAGATTACTCACCTTCTTCGGCCGGCAACTCTGTAGAATGTAGAAATTCACCAAGCAACGTGTCGAGAGGAGAAAAAACAAATTAGCGCTCTTTCTAAAAAGAAATGCTAAAATTTTAAACATCAATGTCTCTGGAAAACGGACCTAGGATTCACCCTCCCCAATAAAGCACTCCAAAATGATACCCCAGGAAAATATGCAGAACTTGTCATCAATGGCCTTAGGTCTGGCTCGTAAAATCATTCAGAGCTCCTGAGATAAGGAGCCATTTCAGCTAGGTCATCACTTCTGCCAGATGTGTAACTTTGGGTAGCACAAGAACAATCAGAGGGCTTCTCAACTACACCGACGCCTCAAAAATCGGCAGGGGACAAGAAAATGCCTCGCAGGGCTCAACCCGACTGCAAGAGGCTCGTCCTTCCCTCCCTCCACCAGAGCCAGCTGCTGGCGACCAGACGCTGCCAAGCAGTCTGCGCGCGGGGAAGGTCAAGGGCTCGAGACCCTGGAGGTCGACGCGAGGCCCGGCCCCTGCCCACAGCTGCTCTCCCGTGGGGCCAGCGCGGGCCGCCCGCAGACGTCGGCAGGCGCGGAGCCGAGACCCACGAGGTGGAGCCGGGTCAGCCATCTTCCCGGCTCTCGGGCCCGCGCCGTTCTGCGCGGGTCCGGCAGCCGAGGTGCCGGGCACCTACCGTTGGAGCCCCATCTCTCCTTGAGCTTCTTGACCTGCTCCAGACTCAGCCCCGTGCTCTCGTTGACGCCGAAATGACCCAGCACCTCCTCCACCGTCTTTGTGTGCGCGTTCTCCATGGCTGCGGGGGCCCGGCCGGCCTGGCCTCCTGTCCCCGCGGCCTCCTCGCCTCCGCCTCGCACTCGGACCGCGGGCTCGTGCCACCCCGAGCGCCCAGGAGCGGACTGCCTCTCCCCTCCTCCTCCTCCTCGGGCCGCTTCCGCCTCGCCGGGCGCTGAATCACCCCGAGCCCCCTCCCCCAGACAACCGCCCCTCTCGCGGGCGGCCCTCTCCGGCACCCGCCCCGGACC